GGTGGTAAGGTATCGTGGCGGGGGTCTGAGGCCCTGCGAAATTGCGCGCGTGTGTGTGTGAGGTGAATTTACGACACGTCAATTGCTGTTAAAGGAAATGTACGAGCGCCAAAAAGGTGTATGGCACGCAGAAGCGTCGAGTTTCTGCGTCCATAGACACTTTCTGGCCCTCGACATCGCTTCGAACGGAAAAGTAAACACAAACGAATTGAGATTAGAAGCCCTCAAAAATAGCAGGCCTGGTCGTCCATGTCATAAAGTCAAATCCTTAAAGGTTGCGTCTGCAACGCAACAGAGGAATTATTCATTTCTAGGTGCACTGTTATGCTTTTGTTAAATAGAGAGTATAGTCGGGATCACGATATAGCGAGGTCGTAAAATCGGTCAGACGTCAAAGTAAACATGTTTTAGCTGCCGGGACCCGAAAATTGACAGAGATACGAGCAGATAAGTACTTGAAACCATTGTCAGGACCGTACGAAGAATTCTTGTATCCAGCGAAAGTCAACTGATTCTAATATGCATGCAGCTAGGACAAATTAGGGTTTCTCCCTCTGGGGGAAGCCGCTTTTGGAAGTACGGTTACAGGTAAAGGTCTTATTGATGTCTTTAGCATCTTAGTTTATCTACTCGTGTTATATACAGATAGAAAGTGCAAAAAGATTGTGTAGCTTTAATATTAACATATTTTCCACTTGTAAATGAAATACCATTTTCTACTTGAAGTACCAAAGTTTATTGTTGGAACCCTCAAACAGACTGCAACACACGGCCTTGAGTGCCGCAACATCAATCGATGCCGATTCTTGAGAGTTTAATTTACGACCTCGCTATATCGTGGCCCCAACTATATATCAGATTCATATTTGAAAATGCAGTCATTTTTAGTAATTTCTAATTGTAAATTAGAGAGATTCAATTTCTGTTTGAGAACTGAACCTAGTTAACGCGTGAAGTATGTGGGTAGATCTTTCAATTTTGTGTAAAATAGTGTAATTTGGATGTGTGAGGAATTTAGTGGAAATAGGTGATTCTGAATGACCCTCTATGATCCGATTTCTCTTTTCATTAAAATCTCTTTTGACTAAAATTTCTGTTAACTACAATTTTACGTTTCCATGGGAGAAGCAAGAATTAATAGTTTTATTGTAAACAAATTGGCTAGTGATAATGTAATCAATAACAATAAGTAAATAAAACGAGGTCTATGAAATATAATAACGCGATCGTATGACAAATAAGAAATAATGTAATTTTTGTTAATTCGATAATATTTATTAAACTGAAATAAAAGTACAAAATTTATAGTAAAATTTACAATAGTATAAGAAATAACGATCCATAATCGATACGAAAGCGATACGGCATCACAGACTAATAATGAACAACGAATTGGACCAAAAATAGCAAATATTCGTCTACGCGGTCTCAAAGCGGCGGCATGTTCTCGACTCGGAATAATTAAAACTTCTCTCGTAGCCGGTTCGTAAAAAGAATCTGGCTGAAGGACAATTTAGATTATCAAGAAGAGACGGAAATGTACTCGAGGAAAGATTAAAAGGTGAAAAGTGGTGAGAGATTTTATCGTTGGAGCTCGCGGTTACCCGACGAGTACAAACGAAACTTACAAAGTTCGCGACTTCTTCAGACGTAATTCACGCGAAACCCGTATTTCCATAGACTCTACTGTAACTTTTATAGAAGCATCATCGCAAGCTCTGTGATCACCGAGGCGTGCCTCAGTTTCTGGTGGAACGCGTGACGCGTTAATTCCTCTTCATCCCCTTATTCTCTCCTCGACCCTTCCACTTTTTCCTCTCCTTGTATCACCGCATATTTTACTCCTCGACCATCTTCGTAAAGAAAAAAAGGGAGGAAGAATTCAGATTGTCTATTAACGAGGCACTTAATTAAATTCTCCAACGGAGGAGTCACTCTTGAACTTTGGCGAGAGAGAGAGAGAAAGAGGGAGAAAAGGAAAGGAAAAAAATGAACAGCTGTGGCGGATCTTTGGTCCGATTCTTCGGGCCACTCGTCGCATAATAAAGCCCGTGGCAGCCCGGAGCGGGATCGAAATTTATGCTAAGCGCACTTACATACTTATGAACTTAATAATGAAGTTCGAGGGTGTGCTCTATCGTTTGCATATTCCCGGACACTCGTCCCTCGTCCTCGTCGTTGTTGCACTCCTACGCTTTCGAATACACTGAATTAACCTAAAGAGACGGAGGGAGAGAGAGAGTGAAGAGGGGGAGAGACCGACAGAGAGATGGAGAAAAAGGAGCGAGGGAGGAGGAAGGAACAGATGGAGAAAGGACAAGGGGTGACAGGGAGGCAAGAAAGGAGCGGTGAAAGAAGGAAGAGACAGAGGACAAAGGAGAGACAGAGAGAAGGAATCAGGGAAGAGACAGATAGAAGGAGAGAAAGAGAAAAGCAGAGAGAGAGAAATAGAGAAAACGAGAGATATATGAGGAAGGGGCAGATAGAGAGAGAACAAAGGAGAAGAATGAGAGACAGAGGGAGGAGAGGAGAGGAAGGAAGAGATAGAGAGAGGGAAGAGACAGACAGGGAGACAAAAGAGGAGAGAGAGATAGATAAGAGACAGATAAAAGGACACGGGGTACAGTATTTTTCAGCGAGTAACGAGTAAACTTTTCAGAATTATCCATCCGGTTCGTCGGGAAATATTCGGATCGCCCTGCCGAACTTCCGCTTTATCGCGTTCACTCTCTCTCCATGGGACGGTTTTTCGGCTAGTCACGTATCGCGAGCTCGTAAAATAATTCTATCTATACCACCCACGATTGTATCGTTAAACCCTCCCTCCCGGCGTTACGATGTTCAAGCGTTCGATTCACGTGGAAACGTTTCGCATCTACATATACATACACACACGCGATCGTAGTTTGTACATTATCGCCAGATAAGAATCTGCACGCGACAGGTTACTCGTCGTTTCACCCTGCCACGTGAAAAGGTGAGCGTTTCGTGCATCGACGATTAACAGCTGTACCACCGAGTTCGAAATATCTCCTTTCCCCGGGTAACAGGATCGCGATGACACTCGGTAATGCAAAAGCAGAGTATTAAATTGCTCGATGGAGAGGGAGAGAGCGAGCCGCGGCTCGGCTCGCGTGTCACTCGATGGTGAAAAACGAAGATCGATCGAAGCACATGATACACCGGCACGCGTGATGATGCGATGCGGTCGTATAGAAATCGAGAAACGCGTCGACGAAACGAGCTCGTGATCTACTTGAATTTTCTAGATGAACAGCGGCGAACAGCTGGTGGAATCACGGCGAAGAGAGAGGGAGGCTAATGACGCGATTCCTATAGTCGAAACCGTTGAAAAACCGTTCCGCTTTAATTACACCGGCCGTCGTTTTCATTGCAAATACATCGGCTCCCCTTTTGTTGTAATATTCATTATCGCATTATTACCATATCGTCCTGGGAGGGCGGCGCGCGCTCTCTACCCTCGGTCACCCTTGCTTTATTCCCAGGCATCGCCAATTACACGAATATCTGTTAATGAAATCTTAATGAAACGAACGGGTTAATTGCAATTCCATTGACAGCGCGACCGAATAAATTCCTGCATCGTTTCTTTCCATCCACGCCCGTTCGCAATGGCAGAAAATAGAAGGGGAGAAAGGGAGGAGAGGCGAGAGCAGAAGAATAGAGGAGGAGGAGGATCTCCCTTAAGGGTAGAACACGACGGCGAGCCAGGCGATTTGAAATTCTCGCGGAACACTGACGAGATATATACGCCGCGGTTATCTGTCCCTTTACGGTACGCCACGTCGTGACACGAGCTGCTATCTGCGACCATAATTCCCCATTAAATGTCGGGCTGATGCGTGCACCGTCGCTTACCCTCTCTCTTCCTATCCCTCCTCCTTTTTTCTCTTCTTCTTCCTCCTTCGTCTTCTCTTCCTCTTCTTCTTCTTCTTCTTTTTCGTCTTCGTCCTTTCTGCTTTGCCACGTAGAACCTTTGTTCCCGCGTGTTCCCTTTTCCGCCAGCGGCTATTTATGACACGCCGTGGAAAACATTTCCCGTATATCATGGAACAAACTTACATGAACTCGTCCTGAGGGAGGAGGAGCAGCACAGAGCGGCAGCAACGGCAGCAGCATCACACACAGGGGTGGAGGATGCTGAGCCGGTGCCGCAAAGTAATCCCCCTTCTCCCTCATACGTTCTTTGTGTACGTGCGTGTGTGGGGAGGGATACACCGAGCGCGTGCGTGTGTATATGTTTTGCCAAGGAGGAAGCCGGCAGAGGATCTCGGAGGATGTATTTCCTCCCTTGCTTCCTTCCTCCTACCCATCCGCCTCTTCCCTCCTTTGTTAAATCTCCAGCGATATTGTCACTATCAATTTTCCATACAATGTAATCCAATACTGTTTCCCTGGTTTTTCCTCTTACTTTTACTCATATCATCTGTGGTACATTCGCCAGCGTTGACACTTGTTCACCCGAAGTAAAAAGAGAGAGAGGAGGAGAAAAGGGTCGAAGATCGTAGTTAGAGAATTTCATTTTGGTAATTTACAGCGGTCGCCTTTTAATCCTTCGGTCTCTGTTTTATTAAAGGTAGAAGCGTCGCGCGATATTCGCCATCAGAACTCCCTCCTTCCTTTCCTCCAATTTCGTCGGAATATATTTCGCGTACACGTCGCGAGGAAAAACTTGCGCGAACTCATCTAGCACAAGATGGAGAAGGAGGAGACGGAGGATGGGGGATCGAAGGAGAAAGATATTCCTAGGGAAATACCTCAGGCTGTTCCTCCGCCATTGTCCAAAATTTTGCGAGAGTTTTTCCTCTCTCACACACACACAGAGGCGAACAGTAGGCAGCCAGTTCATCGAGCAGCAGAGAAATATTTCTTGATTGTTTCCACGCGTCGCTGTGCTGCTCTTTGTTCGGAGACGCGATGTTCGTTTCTTTGTCATTAGAGGATTTATGCGATCTCTACTCTGCTTTTTCTGCCCGCAGAGATACGAAGCACCGTGCAGCCGAAGATAAACGAGAAGGTGGTCTACACGTCATCGCGGCTCAAGGAAACCATTGTGATACCATGCGTCGCGTATGGCAATCCTACTCCTACCAACAGGTAAGAGTAATGATGATGTTTACTGAATTACACAATGGTGCCGGGATTATTTAAGGGGATATTCTCGTTTGCTACCGTGGAAAGGGGTGGTTATTTTAGAAATTTTCTTTGGGAAGATGGAAATTCTGTCGAAAGACCACCTTTGAGAGGTGAAAATGATACCTAACTTTGGCATTTTTTTAAAAGAAACCTACCAACTCGATCGAAAAATTTTTACATGGGTATTATTACATTAACCTTAAGGAATATAAAAATATTTTTTTCATTAAATTTCTTTACAAAATGGCGACGCTACAGCCGCATCGCCGAACCTCCGTTTCTGATGGGTACCCCACGGGGTTGTCCCCTGCAGCCATGCCATTTGACTTAGAACAAAATATCAAAAATTTTCATCATCAACATGCCAATTACTAAAGAAGTACGTAAGATTTAAAAAAAATAACGAGTTTTATAGAAATGGCGAACATAGGAAGAAAGAGTCGCATTTCTCCTTAAAAATTTACACAAAACTGTTAAATGCAGGAAAAGTTTTCAGTATATTGCAAAAATCCTGTGTGCTTCTTAAGATTACACAGCAGAGAGTATTTTCTGCAAATTTCCATTGCCACGGTAGTGTATAGAAATAACGGTAAGACGTTCCGCAAAGGGGAAGGACAAGCAAAAGGTAGAAGCTGAGCAAGTAAAACAATGACAAAGGGCAAAGGAAATTGTGCACGGTTCGGAATGTTAGGACAAAGGATTTAAGGGAGAGTTACGGTAGGTTCTGTTAAGCCTAAACATCAACGAATTTGTATGTAGTTTACGACGACAGTTCCAAACAGCGTCCACCTGAAATTTCTCACCGGTAATTGCCCCGGTTTGTGAGTTCACGACTCGACCATTGATCCTCCGATTTCGTAAATACTCGGAGGAACGTGTCACCGGTCGAATAGAATCGAAACTTTCGACGATCTCTCGTTCCTCGTATTCCAGGTCGTCGACGAACGAATCTATCGTCGTTTGTAGCGAAAAGACTTTAGCTCGTCACACTTTTACCACCTCCTTGTTTCACTTATCTTGATTACGCGGAGCATCTCTGGTTTGCTTTTACCCGGATACAAAACGCCGCAAGAAATGAGTTATTGATCTCTTTGTTCGCGGAGAATGCAGTTTCGTTGCCGCGGCGCTGTCTGTTTAATTCTCCGGTTTTTGTCGACTCGAACTTTTTTCTCCGCGAAAGAAGTCACGGAAGAGAAACTGTGTCGTTCTAGTTAGAGAAGTAGGAAAATGTCTCGAAGTTTCCGAACACAAACAGCCAAGGGATGCGTCATTTTGGCATCATTAAAATCAAGATTTCTCGACAAAAGAATTCTGCCAAACTTCTACGTACATATATACTTTGCAAAGTGAAAAAAAAAGAAGAAGAGAAATCCACTTTAAGCTGCTTTAACACACTGTTCTCCATTCAATGACGCAACAATCAAGGGAGGAAAGAGTTTGCCGCGATCCCGGTCGTTTCGTAATTGCCGACTTTCTCAAAACGGTCCTCGAGTACGGTTCACTTACTTGGCAAACAGTTTCCCGATACAACGTCGAGGGGTGCCGCGGCGGAGGGAGTGGGGTGGGGCTGACGTGCATTGGCGAAGTTTAATTGGCTCGTTGCCGGTAGAAGGGACCTTTCTTGCGCGCGAAAAATATTTTGATGGGTCCCACGAAACTTCTTCGCTCTCGACATTCCCCCTCGACGATCCCGCGTGTTCCCTTTTGAATATTGTAACGCGGCGGAATGACTTTTAACCACTTCGCCTCCTCCGCCTCTTTCTAACCCTTTGATTGCCGTTCCGAACGATATACAGTTTGTCTCGTTTAAATTATTTCCGTTGCTGTGGAAGGTTGAAAGAAAAGTTACTGTGGTATGTACAAGAGATAAAAATGGTGGCGATGATAAGAAATTGTCGCTCCAAAGTCACCCGGAACGAAGGTCGTCAATATTCGTTTTTTCACTCTTTTTAACCCTTTCGTTGCTGTTGAAAAATGCAGCGCGTCTCGCTTAAATTGAACGTATAAATTATTTCCGCTGCTGTTTAAGGTGAAAAATGTGTTAGTATAATATAGGAGTGCTCGTGTGATTTGAAGAGGTGCATATTTGGTGACGATCAAAAGAGAGTCCCTCTAAAGTCATCTTGAACGAAGGTCGTCGAGATTCTTTTTAACCCTTTCGTTGCTGGTGACAAATGTACAGGATGTCTCACTTAAATTGAACGTCCAAATTATTTCTGATGCTGCATTGAAAGAGATAAGAAATTGTGCATGTTTGGCGATGATAGAAAAAAAGTCATCTTGAGTGAAAATCATTCCAAAAACAGTGACAGTTTTTTTTACTGTTCAAGGTCATCGAAATATTTTTTTTACTGTTAAAGGTCCTTTCAAGGTAGCAGTAATATAAATCATTGAACTGTTCTTGATGCTGTCTAAGAGTTTTTATAAAAAACAGACGTTAATAAGGTCACAGGTCATTGAACTCGTCTCGAGATCGACTACAACATCACCTTACAAAAAGTAGAAGTTAATGTGCCAAAACCTGACTATAACCTTGCTGTGTCATTCAAAATGACCTCGGTGGGACATTTTCCCGCCCCTCTCAGTCAATTTTCCCTATTTCCAATGTCAGACGTGCAACCTGAGCGAGACACCCCGTACATGTTCAACGAATCTTCCACTTTTCCAAACCCAGCCCCTTTTTCTCCGTTTTAACGAACCACGTCGATGTACCAGCATCGCGTTTATATTATCGACGATCGCGGAGCAACCGTTTAACTCGGGGCCATTCACCATTGAAAGGGTTAAATCCAACTGCGCCCCCCTCCCTCCCCCCGTCTGCCCCACCGGTGCAAACATTTCAGTACGAAATTAACCAGCAAGCAGCGGTTTACTTTTCTCCGCGGCGAAATCTCCGCCAAAGAAATAATCCCGCTACGAAGGAGAAGACGCTCCGCTCCGTCTGCCGGGGTAAATTGAACGGGAGCTCGCCGGATTAATAAGACATCCGGTCGCGTCGCGGAATTATCGTCGAATCTCCGGCTTGCACGGGCCTCTTCACAACGGGTTTCCGTGAAATCATTGATGATAATCCAACGGCAACGAAAAAAAGAAACGCTGCGTGGCCACGTCGAGAGACGTGGACGTCGGAATTATAACGAGTGCGTTATTGAAATGTAAAAATTTCAATTCCACCTCTCTCTGTCTTTCTCCCTTTCTCATCTCTCCGCCCATTTCCTTTCTTCAGCTCCTCTATTTTGGAATACGGAGACCGAGCCTCGAGGGATAACGTTATTCCACGTGGAATCTCTTTGGCTCCGCGCGCGCGCGAGGGTTGGTCTTTTGGTAATTCAGCGGCAGGTAAGCCGAAGGACGCGTTGTTTCTTCACGGCAGAACGGTTCCATTCGCTTCCAGTGCGGGAAACGTTGCATTGCGGGGGGAGATTTCGTGACAGCCTCTGTTCACGTTTAGACGCCGCGGGGGGCGGTTCGAGGCGGACGATAACAATGACGGAGAGAGAGATAGAGGAAATGAGATCTTGGGCGGTGAACAGAATCACGAGGCGAACGAATATGCCCGCGAGACGGGAGAGAGAGAGAGTAGAGAGCTCTCCGCCGTATTTTTCTTATATTAATGCTAATTTCAAACATGGCCGCGGTATTTCGCGCATACTCGGATTTTCATGATGGAAATTGTGCTCGCCGGGGTTCATCGATGCGTGCACCGCTGTATTATGCGAATAAACGGCGAGAGAATGAAGGAACAGCGGTAAGAGACGCGTGGTTCTTTGATCAAGTAGAATTCACCGGTGTAGTATACATTGCAAACGCAACCCTTAAGAGTTTCACTTTATGACACGGACGACCAGGCCTGCTATTTTTTAGGGCTTCTAATTTCGATTCCTTTGTGTTTACTTTTCTATTCGAAGCGATGTCGAGGACCGGAAAGTGTTTTATGGACGCAGAAGCTTCACGCTTCTGAGTACCATGCGCCTTTCTGGTACTCGTACATTTCCTTTAATAGCAATTGACGTGTCGTAAAGCCTCTACACATACGGACCGGAAAGTGTTTTATGGACGCAGAAGCTTCACGCTTCTGAGTACCATGCGCCTTTCTGGTGCTCGTACATTTCCTTTAATAGCAATTGACGTGTTGTAAAGCCTCTACACATACGTACACACACACAGTTCAGTCCCGTTAGGACTGACATTTCTTTGGGCCTCACACCCTCCGGCGATGTCATACCATCACCGTATCTACTGGGGAAATCCAGGGTGGGTTGCGTACTCTCTACTCATGGAGGACAGCCCAAAACGGAGAGCAGCTCCTTTTAGGATAAGATAGTGCAGTATCGGGGCCTCCATACTCAAATAGGGAACCGACGAGGGAAAATAGAGAGGGAGTTGTTGAGGTCGCGGTTTCAATTGGGTCCCTGAAAATTTTTCCCTCGGTTCGATTTTTCCCAACGTCGAAAATATTTCAAAAAGAGTACAATAGCGGTTCACATTAACCCATTTGCATCCGTAAGCGGAATAATCCGTACATGACGATTGCACAGAAGAATTTCCATGCTTAAAAATTTCTTAATAATTTCTAATTACTAAATTTCCGAGTAAAATCAGTAAAAAACAAAAGCACAAGAGCTATCGTTGCGCGGTGATACGGGCCGGCTGGCGAATTGAACGTCTCAGACGAATAACTCTACTACCCTATTCAAACCTGTGATGGAAATGGGTTAAGCTCACACTTGCATTTTCCCCCCTAAGAAATCATTCGATTCACTCGTTATTAAATTGAACCACTCTCTTCGTTAAAAAATAAGATTCGCGTGAGAACGGTACAGATCGGTCGAAAGCTGTTCTTTAAAGTGAAAAGAAAGGTGCGTCGTAGAGGGTGGCTCGATAAGAATGGCCGGTTCATTCGGTCGATATTAATGGAGTTGGTTCGGCAGGCGGCTCACGAGTTACCAACTCTATCTCGAAACTTGTCGACTCGTCTACCGTTAGCTTCGCGAATCCAATAAAGTTGAACAAGAAACGAAACGACCGGGTAATCGAGCCGTGGGAGTTTCGCGACGCGAAATCAAGAGGGAAGGGGTCGTCGTCGCGGAATCAAGCCTCGCGGATAGTTCTCCGATGAACGTCTCTCCCGTTGGTATCCTTTTATTTTCCCGTATGGATCGAGTGCTTATGAAAATACAGAGAGGGAGACAGAGGAGACTCGCGAAGATATCAAACGCGGAGAGACAAAGGGGCAAAGAGATTGCGTATTAGAATATTAATGCATTTATTACTCGACTGCGTCGGATCTGCTTGAAATGATAACGAACGAAAGGGAGAAGGAGTCTGACAAGGAAACAGAGAATACGATACTTCCGTAGGAAAACTCGACGAGGTTATTAAACGTCAAACGAACCATCTCGTCCTTCATTTTTTCCATCGGAGTGATACACCGAGAAACAATCTCCCGAGAGGAGTCATCTCTAACCAGGTACATCATACTCCAAGATTATCCTGTATAATTATGCAGCCCAAAATTGATTTCCTATCGTCGTATTCACCTAATCCAAATTTCCCTCGTGCCGTAGTAAAAATTTCTGGACACTGTACGTACAACAGGACACGCCGGTGTGTCCACCAGGTATGAAACTTTGAACAACGAGAGACACGAATAATTCGATGCGCGCGGTTCATTAACAATTTCCCGTCGCGGATATTTGACAGGCGTAATTAATTTTCCCAGCTCGCACACTCTCTGTGAGCTACGAGCGTGTGAAATTCGTTTTCCACACAGGAACCACGGATAGAAACTTGGGAGGGGGGGAAAGAAAGAGGTTGCCAAAGAAATCCTCCTTCAAAGAAATATCCAACCGATTCGCGGCTAATCGATTGCGTAAAAATCACGAGACACAGGCGCGTGATACCCGCACACGCACGTGCATCTCGACGAGGAGAAGGACGTGGAGGAGGAGGAAACGGCGGCAAGGCAGCAGCACGAAGGTATACAGACGTCAGGAGTGTATGGGTAGCGCAAACAAACCGACCGCTGATTACAGAGACTGCTTCTGACAGCCCATCAAATATTCCGCATTTACGTGTACGTCGACGTCACTGAGTATTCCGTGGCTGTGTTCGTCATCTCACTCGCTCTCCTCGTCTACCCGCCTCTATCTCTCTCTCTCTTCTCCATGAAGTCTCTCTTCTGCTTCCTCTGCCTCTTCCGTGGCTTGACTGAGTTGACGGAGGAGAGTACGCAGCTCTGCGAGAGCGAGAGAGAGAGAGAGAGACGAGAAGAGAGCCAGGCAAAGGATAAGCAACGAAATCAGAGAGAGATAGAGGGAGAAGGATGAGAGGACAGGATAGAGGGGGGGTTGAGTCTGAGGGTTTGCCAGCGTGGCACAGCTTCCATCTCTGGCTTCTCTCACACCACCGTCTCTACCTATCCTATCTCCTTCCCTCACCAATTTCCCTCCGTAAATTCGATTATCTATAGGTATACTCCTCTCGTTGTCGACCGTGCCTCCCTCCCCTTTCCCTCTTTCCCGGTAGGAAACTAGCAGACCTACGACTCTTCAACCTCATCGGCGACGTCCTTCTGCACCTCCTACCTTATCCTGCTCGCGAACCTCCGAGAGCCAGCGATCCAAACTACCGGCACACATATAGAGAAGAGGAAGAAGAAGAAGAGGCAGATGTGGATGAAAAGAGGGAGAAAGGTGGAGGTCAATCACCGGTCGAGTGAGATAGACCGCGGTGAGAAGAGGTAAGGAGGAGAGACGAAGATCATTTTTGGACCAAGTTAGGGGACTAGTCTCCCCAGGGACGTTACCTTAGCTTTAGAGATTGCTGGCGCGGAGAATATTTGGCGCACGAGAACCACGGCCTAGATTTTCCAAACGACGATGCTCGACCAACTTTCGGGGTTACATTTTCTCTCTCTCAGGACTCTCTTCTGGACAAGCTGGTTGTCTCTGATTTGAACGAGGTCACTGTACCGATCCTCATCTTCGATTACGCTTCTTTTCTTGCTGGTGGACGGCGGAATGGAACGCGGTTGCAGGCGAAAAGGAAGTTCCCAAGAATAACATTTGTCGAAGAGGCAAATGGACGGAATCGCGGCCGCTTAAAAGAGCAAAATCAATAGCCGCCGTGACGAAAACTTTATTTTCCAAGCACCGCTCGGTAAATATTGATGCTCCCGCCATTGGGAGAGAGAGAGGAGAGCTAGCGCGGAACGCTTACGTTCCGATGTAACGCAAATGTTTTCCCCCGTTTGCGCGCTGCTGCGTTTGTGTAATCATTTTACATCGAGCGTGAACGAAATTCCTCACAATTGTTCCCGCGAGATAGAAGATATTATACTACTTCCGAGACGAGAGACGAAAAGGGGAGCGAATTGAAAAATAGATGGAATTAATTCAGAAACGTCGAACAACGATCGAATTCAATTTTACAGATCTAAATTGGCCAGGATTTCGTACGAGTTTGCTTCTGTCGAGGTCAAAGGTCGCGCGTGCCCGCGAGAGATCGATTCGATTAACCCGTCCGCGGAGACGCTTTAAATCCGTGCGGCTTGAAACGCTTCCGCGAATTTGCATACACGCCCCTCTCTCTCTCTCTCTCTCCATAAAAACGAGCATACGTTCGTTTCCTTTATTTAAAGATCCGCTGGTATTAACGATTTTCGTGTGTATCCGGTGCACGCCAGAGGCGCAGTTTATCCGGCTGCTTGTTCAAGCGGGAGTGTTTTGAAAACGTGCCAGTACATCCCCGCTGCTTCATGTGAACGGACCTCGGAACACGGTTGAAAAAAAGAAGTAGAAAGGGAAGAAGAGCGAGAGAGGAAGAGAGAGAGAGAGAAGGGTGAACGTATGGGTAGAGCGTGTAGCACACAATTCACGGCCGTGCCGTGTGTATTCAGTCTTGCCAATGAAACAGTTGTTATTTTGTGGTTGGCGAGTGCACTAGAGAGATACACCGTTGGAATGGAAAGGCTCGGTCGGATAGCAAAGCAGCAATATCGCCCTCTGTTCGTACACTGGCATTGCTCACCGGTATGCGCTGCTATTTTTGCCCAGCCACCATCGCTGAATCTTGAGCAACGATCGAACGTAATGTAACGCTGTATCGTAGGGAGACGGGCTGGCTTGTTGGATGGCTGGTCGAATAGCTGACTGCAGTGGTGGAGCGTTACGATTCATCGAACCCGGCCAGTCAGTGGTTCGAGCGTACGCTTCAGTTGACAGTAGTATATCCCATTCGCTGTCAGACACTGCAGACGTACGAGATTCTTGCGGCTGTCTCTCTCGTTGTTTCTACGTTCTTTCTACGTCCGTCTATGGAATTGATACGGTACTGAGAGGAATTCTGAACGTCTGTCGCTATTGGAATTCGACGCGTTGAATTATTGGAAAAGAGAATTTTCTGTTTTTGAAGGAAGTTTGGGTAGGGCTTTGTGTGTATTACTTGGACTCTCGGTTTTGCTGAGAGTACGAGACATTAGAGTATTAACGCGTCTTATCTTAAAATTTTTTAATTTTCAAATTTTGGAATATTCAAATTTGCAAACTTTGAAATTCTCAAATATAAAAATTTTGAAATATTCAA